ACACACACACACACACACACACACACACACAGTGATGCTGCTCTACGTGCAAAGAAAATTCAACCACTCGATTGTTTGGGAACCCTGAATCCCCTGTGTACCTGCCTCGGGTTTTTCCTCCACTTTTTCTTGTTAACAGCTTCAATGAGGTATAATTTTGACTCATTTTTACATTGGACTCCTTTGAGATAATCTCCTTCCCTAGAATATTTACTTCACTTTTTGGATCTCCACTACTACAGGCACCGGTAAGGATTCCTTTTTTCTTTTCCTTCCCCCCTACATTCCGCAACCGAACACGTGTGAGGCGTGTCCCGAACTCTTTCGGCCTCGCTCCCCAGACCTGCCCACTGAGAGTCTGGCCCCTACATTTTCCCGGAGCCCCGCCCCTCGGCCCCTTTCCAACTCAGGCCCGACGGATCTCGCCCTTCCTCCACCCCCGGCCCCCCCAATATCTCGCGAGAGATGAGCGCGCCTGGCCGGACGAGAGGAAAGTATCTGCTCTGCTGAGGGGGGAAAGGAGGAGCTGGAGACAGATTGTGGGACCGAGCACGGGCGGGCGGGAGGCGACGGAGCTACCAGCTGGTGAGTCCTGTTAACATTAACTAGGCCATGATGTGACGACAGTCTCCCCTTCAGCTATGGCCAGTCCCAATGTCCCAGGCCCGGGTCTCCCCTCCCAGGCTGTGTTGGACGGGGGAGCTGAGGCGGTGGCCGGGCCCTGTCTGAGGAAGAGGGTGGGGCGTGGACTAACGCTGACCAATAAGAGAGAAGGAAGCTACGATTGGCGGTGATGAGCACTAATGGGAGATCGTCTTTACCTTATGGAGTGCCGCCCCTCTTCTCTCCCTCCTCCCGCCTCCTTCCTTTGGGGGAGAAGGCGGGGCCAGAGGCCTGAAGTGTGGGGAGAACTTGGGGGTAAGTAGCCCCGGGGGGCACAGGGCGTGGCAAGAAGAGGGGAGTTGAATCCTGAGGGAATGGAAGTGTAGTGTGCCAAGTGGAGGAAGCATGAAATGGGGTGGAATGGGGAACCGGGAGAGGTACTAAACTGGCTTTTCAAAGAGTGGGGTTAGGGGGTTGGCATTGGAAGAAGCAGGGGGTAATAGGCAGGAGGTAGGGATGAGTAGGTGAAAACATGGCATTAAGTGTGGCTGGAAAGGTAGGGAGGGGTAAATCACTGGAAATGAGAGTCATGGCATTTCGATTGAATTATAAAAAGGAATATTAGGAACTTGGTATCAGAAAAACTATAGATTTGGGGGGGAAATAAGTGAATGAGTTTAGGAAGACTTAAATACGAGTGGGTGTAGTAGCCAAAAGGCATCACTTTGAGAAGGGTATGGGGGAATCCAGAGGTGAAAGGGAAGTGTTTGAAAAGGAGACGGCTGATATATACAGGCTTTGAATCTAGGTATCAGAAGAAACTTGGGATACTGATTTAGGGCTTTTGGTGGATATGGCACCCATTCTATGACCAGCTTGCAAGAATGCTGGATAGGGGTTGAGAAGGAGGCAAAAAGAACACTTTAATCACTTCTACTCTGATTTCCCTTTCCCCTCTCTAACTCTTCCCACATTTAATCTCTTCCTAACTCAAGGATGGGACGGAAGCAATCCCAGTTGGAGCCCCATAAGGAGTTATACGTTGCTCTGAATTGTTTATATTCTCTGACTGGGGTGTTTACTACCCAGGGCACCTCCTACCCAGATTCCCCTGTTGTTACTTTCCTAACTTTAAAGTTTGTTTTCTACTTAACGGGCGTGTTTTAGGTTCTCTGAGGGTTGTGTCATAAGTGAAGGTTTGTGGGAGTGCAGTTTTCTCGGCAAGCCCACTTGATTCCTATGTTTAAAACTTTGCAATAGCATAATTCTTGTAAAGACATCAGTCTTTATAAGCTTTCTAAGCACAGAGAAATATACTAAATTGGTTTGTTTTGTTAAATGTCTTACTTACTCATGTTCTTTGAGTTGTTAAGTGGATGGTTGCAGTTAGTTTTAGTTAGCTTATGTTATGTTTTTTAAAATGGTGTAAATAAAATGGACACATATTTCAGGAAAGTGAAAAATTTCATTTTCTTCCTTCGTGTCCAGACTCAGAAGCTAAATATGTCATAATATCTTAGTGCAAGGGTTGGGGAAATAAAACACAATTTGTACTTAAACATGGAGGATGTAAGGTAAGTAGAGACTTACGAAATGTAACATGTCTGTAAGGAAAGAAACTGAAGAAAAGTTTGGCAGCTATACTAAGTAGTCTTACCAGTTCTTAATTCTGTACAGATAAATGACAAGCCTTTGCCCTTTGTTTGATAGTTGTGTAGTATTTAATAATGAATTGAACTAATACAGCCAATTAATAACTTCTTTATTATTACATATACTTATCTTTTACATTCCTTCTCTTCTTCTTTTACTTTTGAGAAGCAAAATAATGTCTGAAATACTGTTAAAGCTGTTTTGTGAAGAGAAACCAGAATATGTTACTTTGTATTAACCTTTGGTTTTCTGCAACCATTTGAAGCTTTTTCTCCTGGCCAGGAAGTCACCCATACATATGCACCCTGAGGCCAATTGATTACTGATCCTTTTAAATTACTTACTGAATTGGGTTCCAGTAGTTCACATTCAGGGCATTACTATTGGACGTTCAGACATTTTCACAGTTTGCCTGGCAGCAGCACAAAAAAATATCCAGTGAGATAGCAAAGTCCCTTGTTTTAGTCTTCTGTCCTAGAATTTGTGATGCCTTTGACTTGGGCACTGCTAAATGCAAGATTTATTTTTCTCATTAGTGTTAGCAGAAAGCTAGAGAATGCTCATCTTTAAATTTGTGAATCAAAGATTACATCCTATGATAGATTCAGTACTGTAATTTGTATGCATTTTTGTTTATCATGGCTTTTAAATGTTAATGGATATCGTCACTATATCTCCTTTCTTTTTCCTCTCCCCACTTCCAACCCAAAATGAAAATTGTTTTTTCAACCAACTCTTAAGCTACTATTTGCCTCAAGTAAAGTCCCTGGCTCTGTCTGAACACAGCTGCTCTGAAGTTCTCACAAGTTATTGTTTTGTACATGTCAAGACTGAGTTTTTCCTAGGCTGCAGTAGGAGGGAGTCAGTGTTGCAGCAGCCTCCTATCCACGTCTGATAAGGAGGAGCCTTCTCCTTGCGAGGAAGTTTTGGGTGGAGCAAATAGCATTGCCATATAAATGTCTAATAAAGACAGCTCTTTTCTTGAGACTAGTTGGCAGGCTGGAGTATAATTGTCCCTTATTTTTTGTTAAACTAAAGTTAAGGTGCAGATGTTTCTTTGAGAAAAACAAATGCACCATTCATTAAAAAAAGAAAAGGATGAATTTCTTTTGTTGTTGGTTTCTTTGAAAATGGTACTGATTTTAGAGTTCATGAAAAGTTTTCCATATCTTTGGAGACATGTCAAAGGAAGCAAATGTTTCTCATTTTTCAGTGTTGCCTTCCTTCCCCTAACAGGCTTATTTGGGGATCAGGTATATTCATGAAATAGGAAAAGGCATCATACTTGGAATCCCCACGGGGATAGTCTTTTTTAAAAAAATACGTTTTTATTGATTTCAGAGAGAGAGGAAGGGAGGGGGGGAGAGAGAGAGAAACATCAATGATGAGAGTCATTGATTGACTGCCCCCTGCACTCCCCCTACTGGGGATCCGAGCCTTCAACCTGGGCATGTGCCCTGACCAGGAATTGAACTGTGACCTCCTGGTTCTTAGGTCAATGCTCAATCACTAAGCCACACAAGCTGGGGGTGAGGGGATAGTCTTTTAACTTCCAAATGCTGTAATGAAAAGATCCCCACTTCACAGATAACCCTGTTCCATTTTGGAACTCTACTTTTAGAACATTCTTTACAACTCTACTTTTAGAACATTCTTTACATTGTGCTCTTTAGTTCTGCCATCTGAAGCTACAATAAATAAACCTAATTCCTTGTCAACATGGTAGCCCTTCAAATATTTGATGATAGTTATGCCTTGTTAAGGCTTCTGTTATTGGGATAAATATACCAAGGTCTTTCAGCCATTCCTTAAATGTCATGTTTAATACAGTTCATCAACTTAGTTGCCTAAGTTTTTAGTTCTTCTTGTCTAGATCTAAATATAACATTTCAGATATAATCTGATCAGGGAAAGTGGCCTCTTTTATTTTTATTGTACTCTATACCTCTATTGTTAAAGCCTAAGATCACATTAATTTGTGTAATTGATTTTTAAAATGTAATTGAGAACTTTACATTTATCCCTGTCATCTTGTTAGTTTTGACTTATTGTTCTAGCTTGATGATGTTATGTAGCCTGTTGGGCATTCCTCATATCTTTGTATCATTGATAGATAAATTTGATAAACATGACATAAACATGACACCTATTTTTTTTAATTTATTTTTTATTGTTGACAATATTACAGATGTCGTGACACCTATGTTTTTGTTTTAGGTCACTGGTAAAAATATATAGGGGTGAAGCAATGCTATAACATCAGCACACTATCATTAGGTTGATATTAATCCATTAATCAACCTTTTGGGTAAAATTAATTTATGAATCCACCTACTGTTTTATCATCGAACCTTTATTTCTTATGAAGTATTAAGAGGTGCCCTGTTGTAATCTAAATATATTCTCTTTCTGACATATGCATGAGCTCCTAGGCTAGAGACCCTGTTAAAAAAAGAAAATGAAGGTAGACATTAGTTACTGTTTTGCCATCTTATACTAATGTTTATAAATCACTGAATTACTTGCCAGTTGTTTAAAGCTATCTACTTAATAATTTATTTAATAATCTTCTTGGTAAACAATATTTCATCAGGCTATAATTTCTGGACTTTGCCTCCCCTGCCCCCTACTCCCCTATTTTTTTCAAGTATGATTTTCCCCCCCATTTCCAAGACCTCTGGTCTTGCTTCCCCCTTTTTTTTTTTTTTTTAAGAATATAGGATGATTAACAGTGTTCCTTTATAATTGCATGGTTTTTGTCATCAGATGAAATTCTGTTTTGGAAACTATTTTAGGAAGAAACGTTATTTCCTGAACATTTTAAGTTACATATTAAAGAATTAAATTGTCTACATGCCCTGGCCAGTTTTGCTCAGTGGTTAGAGCATTGGCCCAAGGACTGAAGGGTCCTGGGTTTGATTCCTGCCAAGGGCATGTACCTCGGTTGCAGGTTCGACCCTGGCCCTGATCAGGAGCGTGCAGCAGGCAACCAATCGATGTGTCTCTCTCACATCGATGTTTCTCTCTCTCTCTCTCCCTTCCACTCTCTGAAAAGCAATGGAAAAAAATATCCTTAGGTGAGGATTAAAAAGAAAAAATTTAAATAAATAAATTGTTGTCCACATAACTATTGTATTGTAGTTTTCCATAATATCGACTTCTCCGATTTAGACCTCACTTTTTATTTTCTGTTTGGAATAAAACTTGAATCACCTGTAAAAAAAAAAAAAATCACATATACACACACATATGTAATTGCCATTTATAACTGTAGTTTATTGGTGTGGTGGTCTAAGTTTGTCACAGTATGTGCTGTAGGTGTGAAATGGTGCTACAAATAATATAGAATATCAGAAGACACCTCTAGGGACTAGGACTTTATGTTGGCAGCCAACAACTTTTCTGTGTGTTAATTTTAGACCTGATAGTTGAATTTATGTTTGAGCAATTTTTGCTGATAAATGCATTTTTAAAGCACCTTCCTCTTTTGGGGTTTTAATTTTTACTTTCGTTTTTAGAAAATTGCAAATTGTGAATGTAAATATTCATGTGGAATAAAGTAGCATGCTGTTAGGAAATGCTTTACAGGTTCTCATCCATCTGAGATTATTCAATTATGAATTCTCCTGGAAAGTAGAGGGATGGACTTGATGACCCCTCAA